GCCTATAGGAAGATTTTATTTCCTAGCTATGTTCAAATATCATGCTGAAGGCTGGGAGACCTTCTCTGAAAAAAATTAAATGCCCACAACCCATTCTACACCTCCTGTCAAAAGAGATACAAACAATGTGTGCCACTCTTTCCTATATCTCTGCAGAAAAGCAGTTACACTTTTTCTGCTCTGGTGAGATAGGCTCACTGGGAGGAAGCAGAAGAGAGAACAGATTGCTGTTGATAACTGGGCCCTCACCCAGCCTCGCTCATCCTCACCAAGGAGCAGTTGTGCTGCTCTGTGCTCAGCCAGCCCCACACAAAGCTTGCCAGGGCTTTCCTGACTCCATCCCTGGAGATCCCCCCAAAGCCTGCCTGATCATAGCATTGGGGAGCACTGCTCTCCAGGGCCATTCCCTCGCTCTGGTGTGCATGATCTCTTCTTCTCACTCATGGTTCTATCCTAATTCTTATTAATGTTCTTATTAATGCTGACATTCGTAATCATTTCCCCCCTCCCAGTTTGTCTGTGTTTAGTTCTTTTTAACCTTTATGTGTAGATCAATCCTTCCCAGTCCTATGAATAAATAAAAGCCTTCTGTTCTCATCAACAAAATGGTCTTTTAACGGTTGCAAGAACAACACAGCAATCACTTGAAAAAAAAACAACAACAAATATTTGAAGCATTTAAGAACCTCCAGCTCCAGCTATTTTCTACCTTTTAAAAATGAGTGCTTTGTTAAATAGAGAAAACATAATGAAATTAATGGGGGGCACAAGCAGCAGTAGGTGTCTGAGAGGGACCTGCTAACCCATCAGAAATGCTCACCACACACAAAGTAGCGGTGGGACTAAAAAGCAAAGCTGAACTTCAGTTAGAAACATCTAAGGAATATGAATCAGCTGTTAAAGCTGCAGCCTTTCCCTTTGCTTTGATCTGATGTCACACGTAACTTATGAGTTGGAAATTGAACAGCTTCAAAGACTGTACGAGAGTCAGGGCTCTCCATGCGCAGGGACAGGTAAGAGGTTTGATTCTGCATGGAGAGAGAAGGTATTTTGATGGGCTGTCCTCAAACAATGCGAGGTCTTGGAACTACTGACTGGTTAGGGCAAGGTAATTCACATTCCTCATCTTCTCTTCAGATGGCCACATTACCCATAAGTAGCACCAGCACGTCTGAGTGAAAAAGACAGCCTGTGCCACTATCGTTAAAAAGTCTAAGAGATAAGCTAATACATTTTTGTGGCCCTTGGATCTTGGAAATGCTTTTGTAACTGATGTACTTTTGAAGGTGAAACTGTGGTTGTTCTGGGCTCAGGCCACGTAATGAAACCATAGAAAATAAGATCTCAGCAAATGAGATGTTATAAGAAGTGAGATGAGGAAAGCTGGAACATTATGTGCTTTACCAACTGGAAATGCTTGGTATGAGAAAACAAAGCCACATTTTCTATCTTTTATTCTCATTTTCCTTGGCTCTCAGCTTTACAGTTCCCTAAAAATACTGCATTATAGCTAAAGGAGCTGCAATCTGTCTGCAGCTTAATGAAGAATTACAATATCACTCTAGTTTGATGAATCTCCCACGAGTATTCCTTCTAAGAGGGCTTTCCTAAATTGATTGCCAATAACCTGTTTGTCTCTTTTTCTGTCATCAGAATGTTGACATAATAAAATAATAGTAATATAGGAAGGAAATTGAAAAGTGAAATTTCATTTCAACAAAGCTAAAGCTTACAGACATACATAGCAAGGTCATCCTGGCAGCCTTAACTCTGCCTTCATGAAGCTGCACTCCGAGTATGCTCAGAAATCATGGGAAACTGTTACCTGCCTATTAAAAACACGAGAGACCACAGAACCAAATGTGACTTTACAAAGAAAAAAAAAATTTTCCTCTTCCATGAGATTGATATGAAACAATGTTAGGTGTAAAGGAGAGCTAAAAGGTCTTCTGGAATTAAATTTTCACCACCACCCTGGACACTTTCTAATACATAGCTCTGAGGTAGAGCAGTCTTGAGGTTGCTATGAAATACCTGAAAGAGCAAATGCACAAATAATATATCCTGAGACACTGAGAGAGCTGGCCAGTGCTAGCTCTCCATCGTCAGTAGGAAGTCACAAATTTGGGTGAACACTGTTACACTGAGAAGTGCCATCTTTTTTTGCTGCAGCCTCTCATAACATGAAACAGTGCAAAGCAGCCTTCAGCAAGATTTAGAGCTCATGTATAAGCTCTTACAGAATCAGCAGTATAAATGGAAATTATTTTTCCTTCTTTTGACTGAAGGTTAGACACCATATAAATCAGTCAAGTCACACATACTAGAGCCCTAGCAACTTCCCAACTCATCTGGGAAATCATGCTAGCCACACTGTGGAACTGCATTAATAATTTCATGCCTGAAATGGGAAATGTATCCATGAGAATTCCAGAACAAGAATAAATGTCCGGGTCAGGAAATTATGCCAAACTCATAAGATTTACTGTAAGACATGAGGAAGAGAAAGCAATTATTTTGCTAATGCAGTTGAATAATTAATATTACACAAAGACATCCAAAGGATGGGACACAAACAGGGAACACACTGGTGAGGTGATTTGGAATAGGCAAAATGGTAGGGGAAAGCTATAAAACTCTGTTTAGCTTGGGCAGTTTTGGCAAGGGAGAAAAGTATGCCCTTCAGCTCTCACTGGTGTCTACTCAGGCTGTAACCTGTATTCTGCCAGACAAGGTCTATCCTCACTGCTCAGCACTTTAGGTGCAATGATTATTTTACAGAGCCTAAAATATGTTAATTGTCTTTGTGGCTTAGTGAATCTAGTCTCATTTAGATTAGCTCTTTGAGTAACACAATTGCGTGTCCAGTGTTCTGCTTTCAGGTTCCTCTTTGCTTCTCCCCTTTGCTGACGAAGAAAACCAAACGGAGTTTACAAAGAGTACTGTAGGCCTGACAGGGAGAATGAACTCTTAAAGCAGCCTGAGCAACCAGAAATGTGTTAAATGTAGTAAACTGATCAATTCAGCAACATCCATCTATAGGGGAAAACACAAACACGTCTATGCTTCTCTAGACAAAAAGAAATTCAAGGAAAAAGAGAGAAAATAACTGCACAATAAACACCTGTCGGGGGCTTCACTTCCAAAGCCCTTTTCCATCTACAGAAAAGCCATTCTCTGTATCAAATCCATGCAATAAGTACAATGCTTTATCACTGCTTCTAGGTTCGTTGCTTCAAATATTGCTATTTTAACTCTACTTCTTAAAACCACTATCAGGTTTTAAAAGAATGAGGAACTAAGGCCCGCTCAGCATGCACAGTGAGAAACCACAGGCCTGCAGCGCTGGGCTCTGGCATTTAACACATCACTTGTGTGTCCTGGAGTTCACTAACTTTCTGTATACGGTGCCTGTGATCTACTAACAGCAGCTGCAGGGTGGACAACACGTGGTCTGTCCCATCTCCTTTCTCATGAACTTTGTGCCACATAGATAACGAAAGGGGAATGGGGACAATTTCTGCTGGTTTTACTGCACGTTCCCACTACCTTGTGTCTAAATCATTAGGAAGTAGATCAAAGTGAATGAGCCCCCACTCACAAATTTTGCGCCTGCATAAGGAGAAACATGCCCCTGGGGTCAGCAACGATACTTTTGCACAGGTTGACTGTCTTTGTAAAGCCAGCTCTGTATATGGCATGTGGTCAGCTGTTTGGAAAATCATGCTTTTTATTTATTTTCATTGTGAGCTGTTCTGAGGGCTGGATATTCTCTTTGTCAAGGAAAATATTGGGTTGATTTCTGCACACCCAGTGCAGTGCTGTGTGTGAAAAGGAGTCATGAGAGCAGAAGCAAGGGGAAGCTTTGGTTACTTGGGTTTGGTAAGGCTTTGCTTTTCCTCTTGCAAACTAAATGGTGCAATGTCTCACGCGCTCTAAATTCTACAGCTTTAGCAAGTTCAAATTCAGCATCCCTCCCTTTGAGGAGATCTAGAGTCTCAGTTTCAGCCAAGTACATTGCAGTACACTTTCCATTGCACTGTGGTATACTTTGTAATGTCAATGGCAGATCTGCCAGAAGGAGATCAGAATAACACTGAGATTCATCCCATTTCACCTGTCAGCTCAGAATTTGGCCTTGCTTTTTGTCTACTGCCATTATTAACCACATTGATCCATTTTACTAATGTCTAGAGTGATTCTTGCTGGGATGCAGCAATCTGCAAGGATTTAAAAAAAAAAAAAAAAAAAAAAAGATTTCCTGGCACAAGGCAGTCATGAAGCTGCAAGGGTCAGGTGTGAGAGGATGCTACCAAAAGAGCACAACAGGTGATTCAGATATATTCACAGTATGTCCCAACTGATTTGCTTCAGGAGATCTGTTGACACAGATCTATGCATATCTATGTCATGGAATGGAGCAGAGCAGAGATCCTCAAGGCAGAAGAGGCAGGGACAGTAAGTCTACATGGCACAGCATTGCCCAGGTGTCTGCAGCCAGCCCTGATGTTTCTGCAGGGCTGTCGAGGTGTGTCTGAACAAACCTCTGTGATGTCTCCATGCCTGTCCATGGCCCAGGGGTGCAGCTGTCTGGTTGTACTGGTGTATGAAAGCTGTGCTGTCATTTCATTCTCTCCCCCCAGATTATTTAGGACAAGTATGAATCCAGCAAAAATGGCACCCAGTCCTACTTTCACGGTGGACAATCCCTCCTCACACTCCAAGAGGAAGGTGAAAGAGAAATAGTCCCTTACATAGAGATTAAAAGACCGTCAGCAGTAATGTCAATGGCAAGGTTGAGGAAAAGTCTCAGTAATGGGGTCGCTGTCTTATAGATTCAACATGCAGATCTTTACAAAGCTTCAGATAGCCCTTTTCTCATTTACACTGATGTGTAAATATTTTATTGACTTTTCTCTCACTGCTGAGTAGCTTTAATGGCATTTCCCTCAGTAAAGTCCTGAGCTGCTGTAAATCAAATACTGTTCAAGGCTACTCACCATGGTCATGGGCAAATACAAACAAGTTAAGTTCTGTCAGCCTCTGGGCCAAGTCATCGTAACGGCCGCAGTGTTCCCCAGCGCCGTGAGCGATAAACACGAGGGCCCTAAATGGAGCATTAAGGTATAAATCATTAACTTGGCAATCAGCGCACAAAGGCTTCAGAGCTGCAAGCAACAATGGCACATTCAATTTAGCAACAGCATTTCAGGCATCAGCAAGTACAAGGCAAGCAAATAATGGCTGCGGTGGGTTTTAACATGGGAAAGCAGCTTGCTACCCTGACCTACCATCGACCTGATCTTCACCAGGTTGTAGCAGGACAGTCCACGTGGAGGTCAGCTGCACATGGGACAAACTTACTGATTTGTTTGCCACCGTGGTCTTCTACAGGTTGGAGATGCAGATGTCTAATGCTACTGAACCCTCCTAAAGATGAAATTATAGCTAAACAAGTCTCAAGAAGAGCCCAGAATTCTGGTTGGAGTTTGGGATTTTATCTTTTGACCCCAATTCTGGTAATCTTACCATTGCAGTTTCTACCCCAAAACAGTTGCTTCACTTTGGCAATTAAAGTGACCTTTACACTGTACAACTACAGCCAAGGATCAAGAAAATAACCAGTCTAATAGACATTTATTTTTGAAAGATGCTATACAAATATTTATCTTCAAATATTCCAGTTGTACCAGTGATGCTTTATTTTCACTGGAATGACATCAAATGTAACTAAAGTTGAACGAACCTTCCCAGTGCTTTTAATGGGCAAAGTTTGTGCGGAATTGGACTAAAAATAACAGCAGAAGTAGCAACGTGATTACATAAGTTTTTGTTGAATTTGACAAGTGACTTTCCAAAATCTGGCTTTAGCAACATAAACAGAACTTGTTCGTTTACAAGTACTGCCTGTCACTGGAACATCAGCAACCACTAAACAGTCTGAGGGCTACAGGTTAGACATTTTCAGTACATTAATAGAGAAACATTAGACGAACTGACAACACAAAGCAATGACAGCAGTTTACAGCTAGTGAATTCCACAACTTTATTTTGATTGAGGTTTTGAATACATTTTTAGACAGTGTATTCACTGCAATAAGCTGCTTTGATCTTTATATATTTAAACTTTAAAAAGATGTGAGTGATGTAGAAACTCCAGCTCTAGCTCTTTGATTAGCACCTGCTTCAAAGTATTTTCTCATGCTAGACAACTTGAAAGCACCCATCGAAACCAAAAGGATTTTTACAGAGCAAACCTGCTAACACCAAAAAAAGCAATGCAATGATGCTCTGGTATCTAACAGTAATTAGCAAGGGTGGGGTTAGGCCGTGTAGCATATTTAACTTCCTGTGCCTTATAAATTTTCTTTAGTGTCACTGAAGGTTTCAAAACAATCAGTGTGGAGCAGTCATTTTGTCCCCTGTCACCCTCCCCTGTCAATAGATTTGTCAAGCTATCAATGGACTTGCCAGGCAGACTGATTTTCAGAGTGCAACACCTGTAGTTATAGAACCAAACGCCAAAGAGATGGAAAGACTGCTCCTTCCACAGTGAAGAATATTAACTTTCTGCATGCAGAGGCATCATAGCTTTATATGTCTCATCTCTCCTAGACACAGGCAGCCCAGCAGAGACTCCAGCCAGTGCTGGGACAGTGAATCACTATTCTATATGTGTCCCTGAAAATTGCAGTCCCCGTCTAAATGCTTCTGCCTCTACCTAGGCATAAAGGTCTGAGATCTCAGCTCTGGTTCTGGGTGACCTGAAGAGACCACACACCACAGACCCCAGGTCTGGGGCTGGCAGATCTGTCAGACATTCAGGAGCACAGCAGCAAAGCATGAAGCAAAGCTGGTCTGATAACCTGCACGCTCTGGGCTCTGCAGTACGACAAGCAATGGCACTGCATGCCCAGGACTCTGATGGAGAAATTAAGGAAATGTGAGAGAAGATTCTTATATACCCATCACTTCGACATCCAACAGAATCAGTCAGGCTGAGTCTCTTTGCTGTGTATCTCCTGCTACCTGGCTCTTGGCAGCTTTTCTCCTCAGGGTTTTATTTAAGCCCTCTGTTACTCTTTACAGGATCTACTTTTTCTTTTTTTCTTTCTTTTTTTTTCTTTTTTTTTTTCTGCTGACTAGGCACAGGGAGTAAGGTGCAGCTTGGCTGAGTTCGTATGGCCCTTCATTTCTCAGAGAAATATGATTTGAATATATGCACTGAAATGCATCAAGTGAATGAAACCTAATGGGAAGCTGGTGAAGAGAACTCTGCCAGGGAATGCTTTCTGCTATTTCATCACCCTGACAGCAAAGCCCTAATTTTGCTCTCATTCACACTGCTGCAGCACCACGACTTTGCCTGACAGCATCCTGCTAAGATGCTCAGCCCCCTCATCTTCTGTGAGAAAAGAAAGAACTCCATTCCTCAAAGCAGCAAGGTGTTCCTGCAACCTCTCCTCTCATTCCAGCATGAAAAATGTCAGGCATTACAGAATTGAGCAAAATACTGAATAAAATTCCCGAGATTGCCTGTGCCTTAAGATCCCTAAGGGGAGAAGCTGTCAAGATGACTTAGGCACTTTTAGAAGTTTTATCCTATGAAAACGTGGTGTCATAAATGTGGAGTGAAATTTCCAAACTGTTATGTCCACACAGACGTAGCTTGTTTTGCTGGTGTGTAATGAAAAGTAGATGTACTGACTAAAACCCAGGTTACTTCTACACAGGTCTCTGGGGCCAGCTTCAGGGTCTCTGTGCACAGGGGTCATGCATTTTACACAGTGACCTGGAAAACTGAAGTTAGTCTGAGCATCATCAGAGCCAGGATTGTAGGATTTAGCTCTTTCCCCTAATCTTCCATTTTCCATTGCAAAACAAGTCTAGATTTGGCAGAGAATACCTGAAGGCAGTATAACAAATACGTGGTGCACATATTTTCACTGGCAAGCTGGCATGGAAATACAGCGAGTGATTAGTTTGACTGACAGCAGTTCTTTACTGTATGTAAACATTTTTGCAGACACCCCTGCTCTTGAATCGCAGTGTGCTCCTTCCTTTTGCAATGGCTGGGAAGAAAGAAACACGAAATATCAGAGATTGCTTTCAGCAGAGGTGTTTCTGCGAGTCGTTTAAAATTAATATAGAAACCCAGCAGGTTTTAAGGTGTGGTGTGGCTTTGTTGTTGTTTGTTTTTTTTTGTGACTGCATTGCCTTTGTAAGTTTTGTTTAAGGAAGGCTTGTGTGTTGGTCTTGTATCAAATTGATCCCAGGGAGAAATTTCTTCACCTCCAGCTCTTGCAATTTCACCAGTGAAATCCTTGCAAACACACGCATCTCAGGTAGAAAACATCGTTCACACTCTGTGATTCTTGTAAAGACTGACCTGTGCCTGAACCCATGAATTCGTCTCTAACCGCAGGCAGGGCCACCTGACACATCTTTGGATGCTCCAGCTGGCTTTGGCTGAGGGAACTGAATTCCTAAATATCTCAAAATGCTGCCAAAACATTGTTTTGAATTCTGCTCATGAAAGCACCTAGTGTGCACCTGATCACACAAGAGCACAATTTCCCCACACTCCACAGGTGTGTCTTCACACAAAGCCAAGGTGTAACCTGGAGCATGAGTAAGCATTCGTGTTGCAGTAAGCAACCAGTGGAGTAGCAATTATGGATATTAAACGAAACCAGCTTTATTGACTGTTTGCAAAAGCAACCTTTTTCACAGATCCCTGCCCTTCCCATAGCCTCCTTCTCCTAGCTCAGGAGGAGGAAACCTGCAAGTTTCTGTCTCCTGGTACCGCACAGCTTGGCAAACAGATGTGGTTACTTAGCACAACAAGCAGGCAGGATGATATTTGTCTTTTTTCACCATTCAGTTCAATTACGGGCTGTGTTTATTGATCTTCCATCAGGGGGTAATGGTGTATACCAGAGACCAGCCCCTGCTCCCACATCTCCACTGGGCCAGTCATACACCACTGCTATCAGTCCTCCTGTGCTGCAGCTGCTCCTTGCTGAGCAAGCAGCACCCAGAGGTGCCCTGTGTGCAGGACAGATGCAGACACACTTTGCTGCACCAGGGAGGAAAGTAGAAAGTAGGAGTGGTAGAGCTCAGGCTATGGCACAAAGAAAGGCAGTGTGAGCAGCATCAGAGGAATGCATTGTTTTTCCATCCTGCTTCTCAGAGAGGTCATCAGCTGATCTAAGCTTTAAGCTGCTTTCGATCCTTGTGAATTTATCACAGTTACCACACACCTTCCAATATTTGCCTTCTTGCGTGGGGAGCAGCCCTTGCAGGGCAGGGATTCAGGCATAGGTGCAAGAGCAGAACCAGTTGTAGAGGATCCCACCTTTACTGCTGGGCACGTTGCCACCTCTGCTTAGCCCTGTTGCAACAGTACGAATGTTTATAGATGTAATTCCACAGTCAATTGCAGAAGAAGAATTGAGAGAAAAACAAATGGTGGCACAGAGCTTACACAACTGAGCAAGAGCTCTCTTAAAGCAGGGCTCAATAGAGAAAACAAAACTTAAAGCAAAACTCAGACAGCTGATGTGCTATAGCTTCTGCAGGCCATGAACAAAACTCAGGGCTGGGGTCCTGCTAGGGTGCAAGACACATGTTCTTGCTTATTCTTGGTTGAGACAGGGCCACAAAAATGGTGTGGAAGCCAAACTAGATGTGGAAGGTTGTGAGCAGGATGCTATGATCTTAACATCGTGTCCTCTGGGGACCGAAACATTTCTGTGGGACCCCACGAATGCTCCTTTATTGCCAGAAAATAACCCAGAACACTGAGAATAGACCAAAGAAATGAAGACAAGCTTCCTGTGACTGCATATACAAAAAATTCAATCTTTTCCACCCCATTCCAAAACATCCCTCTTCAGAACAATATTTAAGTACTTTCTTAACCTCAGGAAACTCCCTTCGACTCATGAAAGTCAGTGGGACTTACAACATACAAGATTGAACTTTAAAAAAAGGATTTATAAATGCTGTTCTGAGTTAGGACTGATTTAGTCACATGCGGAAGTGATTTCCTGAACCAGGCCCTCACAACCTAACCTAATACCATGTTATTCTATGTAAGGCAAC